AGGATTATAATCATTTTAAAAGGCGTGGTATGTTGAGATTGCAACGATCGTTTTTCATTTTGAAGAATCGAAAAAAAAAAATTTACTAAATTAATATTTTATAAATATTATCATGATCCTAATCATGATGAATTGACAATATCACATGATTTTCGAAACTTTACCCCGGTCGGTAATTTCTGATCATTCTGAATCTCATAATACAGCCAGATACTGTATAGAGTTGGTTAAAGCCGGGTGCATTTAGTATTTGTTACATATTATATTAGGTTAGAACTTCATTACACATTGAAAGTTTTGTTACACCTGATCTAAAAATTTGGTTGGCTGCTGAAATGTTTTAGGGTAACGACACTAGAGCAGTTAAAAACTCCCAGCGCACAAAACTTGTTCAACTGTGTAAACGAATTTCGACAAAAATTTTTTTGCTTTCTTTTAACAAATGATAAAAATGTCAACTTATTTACCACAATCCTCTGGCTATTTACCATATTGGATGTTATTTGTCTCCATTTTAGCTATTTTTAATACAATTCAAAATTTTATAACACTTTCACTTACAAAGCAAGTCTATAATGCGAAGCCTGAACAAGGTATACTGTAAATATCGACTTTAGGCAAAATATAATTTCTAAAAGCCAATCTTGCTTCTCAATTATGTTAGTGACCGAATTATCATCACGTCTTTTTGCCATTTGGACATTTACATCAGCTGTTATACGTTTATATGCATCATACAATATTAATAATAAAGCGTATGTATGAAAACTCACTTATTGTATATAATAATTATAGTAATTATTAAATTATAACTTTCAATAGGATTTATCAAATAGCACTTTGGTCATATGTAATCGCTTTCTTTCATTTTGCATCTGAATTTCTTTATTTTAAAAGTGCGAAGGTTGGACCTGGACCATTGTCACCGATAATTGTATCCAGTAATTTTAAACATTTTATTTATGTTATGTGTCAAATGGAATGGGTGTTGATTTAAAACTGAGTTGCGTCAGACTTACAGT